TTTCCCCACCCAAGTGGTGGGGAAATGGATACAGACTGGCCAATTTGATACTGTCTTACCCCCACCAAAAGATCTGCTTGGAGATTAATTCCACTACATGTAAGTTGGAAGAAATCAAAGAATACTGAGCTTCACATTGGGAAACAAAAAACTTACTGGAAATCTTGTTGACTGTGAGAAGGGCAACAGCAGACCGGATGCCATACTCTACTGTGATCACTTCATCAATGCCAACACGTTCCAGGTAACGTCTCAAGGTATCTTCAGTTATGCTTTCCTTGAGTCCCTGTATTAGATAGGTGCAGAGAAAAAAAAATCATCACCCTTTAAAATCTCTTCATTCCAATGTGAAACAAATTTCTCACAGCCTGCTTTTGTGACCAGGCAACATACATGACTTTGTACAATGTCATGTAGGTCATAGTAGACCAAGGAAATCCTGTATGGAGTGTACAAGAAGGACATATGGAAGTGTGTGGGCAGCACTCGGTGACTGAGTGTGGACCCACTGCACAGAGTCACCTGGAAATGCGGTGTTAAAACTTGAGCCGACTGCATGCTGCCTGTGCAAGGGACGCCAACAGCAGTACATGTACAAAAATGTATGAATGAATGAATGAATGATACTTTATTTCCGTGTGGTGCGCTATCCCGCGCCCAGCCCGTGTGGGCTTATACGACACCGATTCAATAAATCATACATAAACAAAAGACGATCAAAGGTACAGATAACAGAATCCAAACAAAATATGAACACAAATAAAGCTAGGCTATATACAATAATGATGAACAAATAAGTGTATTTACAAGTGTTTACAATTTACAAGTGCAGAGCGACAAGACAGAAACCACAGCTGTACCTTGACCAGAAGATGAGTGTTGTCCAGTGACCTGGACTGGACCTCCTTCAGTTTGAGAGTGGTTTCATCAAGACGATGTTCATGACTGAGAACAAGCCGGGCATCTGAAGCAAAAGAGACATGTACACTGTGTAGGAAATGTATTATACATGTAACAGTATGCACATACCTAGAATTTTTCCAAAGGCTCTGCCCCTGAGGTGTTGCCAAAAACACCTTAAAGTTAATTGTGTGTTGGAGGGATATGCATATACCTTAATTATACTCTCAAGCATTGCTAAACACTGTTACATTGTAATTCATCTATAGTGTGTAAGAAAATACTGCATTTCAGTTTCCTACCTGTGGGATCCTTGAAGACAATGAAGACTTTCTTGCCCCTGACTTCCATCTGCTGGATGTCTCCTCCCCCAGACCTTTTCTTGTTCTCAAAGTACAGCCTCAACATTTTCTCGTTTGGGGAGGACATGAAGCCTGAAACTTGGATGGTGATGGTTGATGGAGCAGAGGTGGCTGTATCAGGGATGGTAGCAGCTAAATCCCTTTCGTCAGTGGTCCAATGGAAGGCTTCGACAGATAGACATTTGGAAGTTGGAGACTCGGGAGGCGTTGCATACACTGACTCCAAGCCTGTGGATGGGAGACATTCTATCATTAGGCCACACCAATTTAATTTCTTGGTTAACGGATTTTTCTAGAAAAATAATGGAGCGGGCGGGCGAAAAAAATAAAAAAAATAAAAACAGGCCTAGGCATCCTATTATGGCTCAAAATGGTACGATAGGAGCCATGAAGTCAACACACCAGACTGGTTCAAAATTCAAACAATGAATTTTGAACTTTTAACGATACCATTGCATTGAAAGATGGAATAACTGTAACAACTAGGATGAAAAGGACTGTTTTCAACTGTTCAGGGCAAAATATGATCATTTTGCAGTTGATTCTGAATTTTTATTTTTATTTTCAAATCAGAAAAAAACGAAAAAAAACAAGAAATTAAATTGGTGTGGCCTTAATACATAATAATAGCTCTTTTTCTCAATTTTGAAGGTAAATCCTTGATACCCTCCTGGCATGTAGGTGCAGCTGAAATATTCTGATTGAAATGTGATATTTTAAAGGCATCCAATGCAATTTCAGGGTGGCAAGAGAAAACAAACAATTCTGGATGAGGAAATCTGAGAGATACTAACATTCACTTCTTAGCACATTTCACTTGATGCGTTTTAAATAGCCCCAAAACAAGCTTTGTGAGGCATCTCTTTATTTTTAGGGTACCACCCATAAATAGCTACATGTATAACAAGCAACTGTTTTCTGTTAGCAGCATTGCGTTATTAACTTTGCAGGAATACAGGAAATTAACTTTGGAAAAAACCCTTTGTCATCTTTGTTATGTCACCCTGAAATTGCATTGGATGCCTTTAACCTACAGAAGCCAGGCTCCATTGAAAACCTGTAATGAGCTTCTTGCTGAATGGAGACAGTACTTCTGGGACCTGCTGAACAATGAATAATAGCGGACCACAAACATTTGTTCTTCCACCACCAGCCGACCAGGACCTGCACTTTCATGTAGACTCTGTTACTCTTGAGGAAACAGTCAATACCATCAGAAGCATGAAGAAGCATGAAGCATATACAATGTATGTCTGAACAAGCTTGTACTAACTTAATTACTTAAGGGCTCACCTCTTGTGAGCCCGGAAACCAACAGACATATCATAAATGTAACTCAATCCTACACTGTTCACTCAATTTGCAATTGGTATACAAATAACTAAATGTGTTTAACTGCCTAGTACGGAATTTCTTTTTCAAAACATTATGATCCTTTTTTACGTTATTGCTTATACCGTAATGCCCATTTGCTGTTTTGTTATTTGCTGTTTTGTCACTTGTTGCTGTTTTGTTATTATCATTTACCATTGTATGTACTGTTCTTTGTCAGTGGTGGGGCTTTAAAGAGGGGGGTGGATATGTAATTGCAAGCACAATACATACATTCAGCAAGCACAATACAATACATTCAGTCTTTTAACGAGTCTTACCCCCCTGAGCAAATTGGTCCACAAACGTCATTGTTGAGAGGAATCTTCCTAATGTCCATCACTGATATTACTTTTACTACAAAATCCTTTTAACAACGATAAGGCCATAACAATTCTATTAGTTGGTTCTCTGATTTTTTTTTCAGGAAAATTATGATGCGACGGTGAAAAAAAATTGATCTAGGCGTCCTATGATAGCACCAAATGCTGTGATAGGCGCCATGAATTCAACATACCAGGCTGGTTTGTATGAATGTACAATAAAGGTTATTATAATTATGTATTTCAAGCCAGTCTGGTAATGTCCAAAACTTCCTGTTTTCAACGCCCATATGGATAAAATGACACGTAACGTTACGTTTCAACAAGGAGGACAAAAAAGACAAATTGATTTCCTCACCTGTTTCTTCTGCAAAGGCCTGTTCAGGTCCAAGTAACTCCCTTGGGAAGTTCCCGCTCTGGAAGTAGCCCGTGACTCTGTCCTGTAGTCCGTCCAACTCGGGCAGGACGCGGACATGAACAGACCGACTGGAAGAGGACATTTTTGTTCCCCTCTCAGGAAAGGAACCGACAGCTTAGAAACCCGGAAGTAACTTTTGTACACTTGAAACTTACCGATATACATGTAACGTTACATGTATTGGATATATGGCAACTTGAATGTTGCCCAATACTGTTAGCGCTTATTTCAAGAGTACCTGTATGGACTACTAGTTACGTTACAGTAATTTATAACACGCCCAAACCATCCAAATGTGAAAGTAAAACCGGTTTCTGCACCGCGTTACAAACATAATAGTATTAGTGTACGCGTCACACCTCGCTTGAGTCAAGACGTCAGCCAAAGTTTCGGTCAGCTGACGTCAGGGCGGCTGTTGATTGGTGGAAAAACAGGTGTCACTGCGATAAGGCTAGCCTAGACCCCCTCCGTGATTTCATCTCCCGCGTGGGCGAGATGTCGTTTGTTTCTAGTCTCCACCAGACTTCTTCTGCGGGGTGAATAAATCGTAGAAATCGGCCTAAAAAGGGTATTTATTGGCCAGAGAAGGTAGCCGGCAAGAGAAGCTCCATTTCCCCGCCAAGAAGTCTGTCTTG